AAAATATTAACAACATTAAAAGAGCAATGTTCACTCTGAAGATGGGTTGTGTTGAAAATAAGGCTTATTTTGTGCAACTTGTCCAGTTATTAAATACATAACAAAGTGTATGTGCAGTACTTAGGCTTTAGCTACCCTGGAAGTTGAAAGAAATAGATTTTCATATAAACTCAGGCTTTCAGGCCAACGGATGACCAGGTATCTCACCTAAGGGGTGTTTTAGTTGCTGATGCCTACAATATCGTTTTCTGGCTAATCATGAGAAGCCACTACTGTCGTTCATTCATCCCTGCTGCTGAGGCAAGGGGACATGGAAGGAAATAAAGATAAAATATAGCATCCATGTACATGCTAGGGTGGATGCTGCCACTTGAATACCAGAGCCAGCAAGAAGAGCTCCTGTTCCAACATGACACCTGAGATTTTTGAAGAGAAAGGGTATTTTGAGCTGAGCCATTGTAACCTTTGCTAGCAGGAAGTGACAAAGCCTTCCTCACAATGAAGCCTTGTTTTGTCCTATTCTTTCCTGATTAGCCTTTAAACAGGAACCAACAAAAAAAACCCCCACTGGTGCATGTATACTACATTGTGCTTTTTCACAGTGCCTAAAGATTGCAGCCAGTTCAAATACTAAGATCTGAAAGTGCACACTCAAATGCAGAGCTGTGGTCACCTAAACCTGTTACTACTTATTGGAGAATGCTTGCCTTAGGAAGAAAATTATGCAGCATTTTTAGCCAATAAGTTATAGGCTGTTTCCCATTGTGAGACACAATAAATGCAGGAGCTCATGATGGCTATTGTGGAAAAATGTTTACTTCTGAAATATTTTTTTTCCTTGGAAAATATGTTTTTTTTAATAAATTAAAATGGGCTAACGTTACTAGGGGCTTCTGTTCCTCAGATGAGTAATATCTACCATGTGAAAAACAACATCTATATCAGGAGCAATTTGAGAGCGGCACTCTGCACATCTGTACAGACAAATCAGATTTAACTAGCCATGCTGAGATTCCTATTCTTCCTATTGACTGAAGAGGAGAAATTCCATCCCAAAATGTAGGTGTCTGCCTTGGAGACATGTGCAAATCCAAATTCTGTAGAGTCCCGTGTTTCAGCAGTGATTATGCAAACTGGGGATGTTGTTTGCTAGCTTAGCCAAAGAAATGCAGCTGGTAAAAATGAAAGGATGCTGGCAACTACCTGCTCTGCTTTCAGCCTGAAGTAGTTTGGTCAACTATTACAGGAGTAGAAGGACGTCACAAAGTGCTGACAGAGCAGAAGCAATGACAGCATTAGCTTCCAGATGCTGTTAGGCACTGGTGGGCAAGGAGAGAAGAGTGCAGGCAGTCAAAAGCAGCGGCTGACGATGTGATGTCAGGAAAGCCTAATGCAGAGATAGCAACTTTTCGGTTCCCCTGCATTTGAGTGAATTCATACCATAAGGAAAACATTCTATGCGCATGTTTGCTTGTTTCCAAACTACAGTTGTATGTACCTGCTGCTTTCAGTGTACGTATTAACACCATCCTACTCTGAAGAGGTTTCAGTTAATGTGTAACCTAAATGTGTATCTAAAGTGTAAGAATGACATGTTTAATTTTACTTTTTGTATTAAGGACTGGATGTTACTTACCGTTGTTAGCACAGTGGCTGAAACTTCCCTCTCTAGCAGTGTTAGGACAAGGCTTGCTCTTATAGCCAAAGCCAGGTTTCTGACAATCCCTTCTCATTTAGGGCTGTCCTTTCAAAAAGATATAGGGCCAGATTCACCGGTACCCTCTGGCTGTTCTGTGCAGTTCTGCTGACACACAGCAGCCATAAACCTAAGTTAACTGGCCAGTTACAGCTGCTCTGTGTCACTGAAGTGTATCTGAGAATCTGGCCCCTGATCTGTATAAATCCTTTTAGGAGAAATCTAACATATGTTTTGTTTTCTTCTCTTTTGCAGAAAGATATATGAGGAAGAGTAAGTACTATGCCTTTCTTACATATAAAATAATCTTTAAAATATCTTTAATTTATCTTCAATATGCCTAAAACTGTACATGTGGAAATTTTAAGAACACAAGCCTTTTGTGTCAGTATAACCCATAGATTTTTCCAGGACATACGTGATAAAGACTCTCAGTTTTAATTTCCCTAAGCCTGTCTGGTTTTCTAATTACCACTGCTCTAGCTTTGCAGTATCTTTCAAAACTTGTGGTTTATGAAGCTACTTAATTTGGTTGCCAATTCATTTGGAGCCCTTTCTTATCACCTCGCTGTCTTGTAAATGTGTGTAGAGAGCTCTGATGTCCACAAGAGTGCTTGTCAACAACATAGTGTCAGTCTTTTCAACCCAGACACTCTGAAATCATTTTGCATAGGCCTCTGTAGACCTGCTACAACACACATTAGCTTCACAGGTAAAGCTATTTGTAAGGAGACGACCCCTTTGGTAGCCTTATAGGAGGAGTCCACCTTAGGATCTTCCCTCTTACGGTGGCTGGAAGAACATCAGTAAAGAACAAACTCATTGCAACACTTTGCCAGAATACTCACCCAGCCACTGATAACTTGTGGTTAAGGGACTTCTGTGCCAAATGTGACATCTTTGAAAAGCTACAAAGGAGAGTTTCTCACAGCTGCAGTTTCTGGACATCCAGCAGGCTGGGATCATTGAAATGCAGCATCTCCTGAAGTCACCTGCGGGGAGAGGTCAGAGGAGGGGTTAGCTGAACTGAAAAAAATTCTTAGAACCCCAGACAGAAATGTTAAGAGAGAAAAGGGGTGCGAGTGTGCTCTATATTGGTAGGAGAGGAACATCTGTAAAATCAGAGAATTCGTTAACTGGTCAGTCAATTGCATGTCATAAATCAGTGTAGAATAGACTTTGAAGGATTTGTGTGCTGAAATTCTAATGTTGGGGTTTTCAAGCTTTAGTCCGTGATAGGAAATAGTTTTTTTGCATTTTGTTTTGATAAGTGACATTCTTGTATACTCCTGTCTCCCAAGGATTGGGGCTCCAAGAACAACAAAATACCCAGAGAGTCACAATAAGATCATGTTAGACAGTAACACATATTGAAATAGCACAAGATTGCTGCTCTGCTTTGTGTAGCTCTATCAGAGATGAGTGCCTAGTTTTCTCCTTCAAACAGTTTCCAGTGGAGTGTAGGACACAACTCACTTTCTGAGTTTAAACTGGCTCTGATAAAGCTGTGCAGAGGGCAATGAGCCAGGTTTAGCTGCAGGACCCTCCCTGAGCTTGGTTACCTGACACAGTGTGGTGGCGTTTGCCTTTCTCGCTGACCAGCAGGGCACTCAGAAATGCCGTCACCTGCAACTCAAATCATGCCCAAAAATCTGATTAACATTGAACTGGAAAATACGGCGTAACTCACCCCAAACGGTCTGTGATGTTGCTGCTCCCAGATTGCTTTTCATTCAAGCATGATCAAGAAAACAATTACATAAATACCAGACAGTGCTGCCCTTTGCTAGCAGCTCGATAGGTTAAATTCTGCTTGGCTTAACAACTGTGCAGCCTCACTGATTTCCCTGGGTTTGCATGAGAGTCTTACGGCACAGTGAATTATTTGCCCTACACGTCTTGTACTAAAATGAACTCGTGCACAGTAAACCACGAAGCCTGAGACTTTAAGTCACGCTGCAGCCTATGATGCACAGCTGAATACGACACCAGAGCAAATGAAACTGAATTCTTGAGTCACCTGTCTTTGCACAGTTTACCATCGTGTGTTTTTTAAAGAGGCAGGAATCTTTCTGCAGTTGTGACTTTGTTCTGTTGGGAGGAGGGAGGAAGGGGTATGCTGTGAAGCTCAGTGCAGTGAAACCAGCTGCATCGACTGCAGAGCCACGGTAATAATTTGTGATGAGATTAGTACAGCTACATATGACCGAGAATACTTGCTAAATTCACAATAACACGGGAGGGAAGGCTGAAGTAGCATCACAAATGAATTATCAACTTAATTTTCCACACAATAGATGTCAGGAGCCATTACTCGCCTGTTTTGGTTGTGTGGCAAGGCAAGGCCACGTCCTGCCCAGCAGCCAGGAGGGTCCTAACGGGGCACATTGCAAAGGAGAGTGGCTATCATCAGCTAATCTTGCTGGGGAGAATTAGATGATTTGAACTTTGTGGCATTTAGTGCCCCAGGGAGTCATTATCTTATAACAAACCTACTATCTCTCCAACCATATTGCAAGACTGTGTCATGCAGATATTCGAACAGAGGGCTGTTTATCACTTGGGCAGCTGTCCAAAGTGCAACCATATAAAGAGAAGACACTTGAAGATTTTTCCATTCATGAGGCAGCTTTTATAGATTTGCATTCATGAGGCTTTTCAGAGAAAACAATAACAATGTAAGATTTTTTTTTCATTATTGCTGCCAGAAGCTAAAAGAAGGGAAAATAGCTCTCTATATTTAATGTAGGATACAGGGGAAATGAGGGGGATTGAAATGATGAGAAGGTTTGGGGACATCAAGAAGCCTTTAAAGGCATCTACTGTTAATTTTTTTTCATGCAGAACTTTTTTACAGATAATGTCTGTGCAAGAGAGATGGTTTAAATATGCAGATGTCTCTTCTCAAAGGCATTCAAATTGTTAGTTAATTAGTCAGCAGTAAGGATTGGCTCTTTTACTTCTTATACATATAAAAGTAGGAATGAAAGCTTTTTTTTTTTCTCTTTTACTCTTCCTGCTGCACAAAACAATAGATGTCAGCCTGCAAAACCAAGTGGCTGTTCCCTGGTTTTTGTACTTTCCTTCTACATTGTGTTATTCCATCTTTCCATATGCAAAAATCTGTCTTCGCCTAGCATTAACTCTTGCGTAGTTAACATCAAACAACCTTTTCCCCCCCAAAGCAGCCTTTTCAGGCACGCACAAGGAAAGCTTGGTCTGCTTTACCGCCCTTCACGCTGTTACCAACATCTCCCGCTCGGTTTCAAAGGGGAGCTCTGTTGGTCACAGGCAGTTTGTACCAGCACTGGTGCCAGAGGTTGCCTGGTTTGCTCAGGAGTGGGCTGTAACAAAGAGAGACAATGGACATGTCTGTCCTGCTGCTGGAGCCTCACGAATGGCTGGCCCTGGCCCTAGAGCGTGGCCACCTACTCCGAGGAACCCCCATGTTTCTACCAGCCACGGGGAAGGTAATGAAGGCACGTGTGGTGTGGTCCTGCCCTGCCCCTGCTTTGTCCCAGGCTGTTGTGACAGCCTGCAAACTGCACAGCCTCTCCTCGTCAAGCCTAGAGAGTGTGGGCAAAAGCTCTGGTCTGGAGCAGGGCTGGAGCATGAATTCAGCTGGCTGGTAACTCCCTTGCACGGGGACCAGAGAGCTTGGGCGGCCTTGATGGCCTGAGCTGCTCAGGTGCTGGGGGAAGCTGCTCTGCTGCCCCTGCCAAGCCCATGCAGATTAAGCCCGGAGCTGCAGAGTGTCTCTGAGCCTGTGACAGAAGCTGTGACTTTCCTACCCTCATCCTTCTGCCACCCTAGGCAGCTGCCTGCTTTGCCTTTGCGTAAGGTGACTTCCAGCAGGCTGGATCAACATCTTGTATGTTCAGCCAGGCCAGATCTGGTACCCTTTGGAAGCTCAGACATCGTTAGAAATAACCTACTGGCAACCAGCAAAGAAAAACCACAAGTAAAAGAGGGTAAAGCTTAAGAGTCACTGTGGCAAGCTGAGAGATGTTGTGCTGAGGGATACAGCTGTGACTGGGCATCCCAGTTACTCACAGGAGGAAGATGTTGCCACTTTAAGGCTGAGGGGCCAGAGCAGGATGTAATAGCCCCACTCACATGCACTTCTCAAACTTCCTGTTATTTGTTCTTCCACCTACATCTCCCTTCCTGGGTGCTGTGGTGTGTGAGTTTGTATCACAAGCACCCTCAGACTGAGTGGGACAGTTTCAGAGGTATTGTCTAAGCAACAGTCTGACAGGTTGCTGAAAATACAGAAAACTCAGACCTGGTATGTATTTCTCATTGAGGGGGCGAGAGGAACATTTAATTTACAATGGCCCGTGTTCCCTGACAGACTTATCTTATTCTTTGACTTAAGCATTAATTGCACTTCTGAGTCAGGGCAAAGCACTGCTCTGGTTTTGATATTTTCTGTATTTGAAAGACCAACTGAAGGATATAAAAGGCAGCAGCTTCAATGACTAGGCAGAAATAATAAGTTTTGTCTTCAGGGAGTTTCTCCTTATGTGACAATTTTTTTTTTAATAAATTATAGAGGAAAGTCAAATCTAATGGACATGGGATCCCTGATGATCAAACCAGTGCAACGGGTGATGAAATATCCCTTGTTACTCTGTGAACTCTTGAATTCAACTCCTGCTTCTCACCCTGACCACAAGGCGCTACAAGATGCCCTTTCTGCTATGAAAAACATTAATGTGAACATCAATGAACTTAAAAGGAGGAAAGATTTAGGTAAGAAAAAGGCACAACCTCTGTAGGTTTGGGCTGGCAATTACAGGAGCAGTTTCAACTCCAGTCATATCAATACAACAGTTTGGCTGGCGCCACCCAAGTTGTGTAATACGCTGGGTTTCAAGAAGCTAACAGATGCCTTAATGTCACTTGTCCTCAGCCAGCTACGTTATCTGACAGGTAACTCCAGAAATATGAAAATGATGAAAGAATTCATGTTACTTCATTGTTCATAATGCAGTTGCAAACACTGATAATAATTAAGATGCAGTGATAGCAATATTTCTGATAGGCTTGCCACATTGAAGCTCTAATTTTGCTCTTCCCAAGGCTGGCGTTGATAACAGGGTTTGCATCATCTCAAGCATTTTCACACAAGATCACAGCAAGTGGCATCAAAGTGTCTGTTCTCCAATGGTTTCATATTTGTGTGCCCATCCCTGTGAAAAGCCCTGTGAATATAGATCAGTGTAATGAAATTCTCTGTCTGCAGTGCTGAAGTATAAGAGGAATGATGATGATGAAACCCTTAAAGAAAAGTTTTCCCGACTGAATATCCACTCGATTAGCAAGAAATCCAAGAGGGTCACCAGCCATCTGAAAATACTGACGGGGGGAGAACCTCAGGTACTTACTCATCCAACTGCAGATTTGCATTGACAGCTTCAGTTCTGCTTTTGCACTGGGCATTTTTTAAAACATATTGGAAATGGAGTTTGTGGTGTTGCTTTTTTTCTGCATCATTTATAAAGTCATTTTCTGACTGTCACAGAAGACAGGAAAAATCTTTGTGATTGAAACAGAAAAGAACGTAATGCGTTCTCCACCTTTTCCTTTTTTATCTAAGAGTTTCTCAAACTTCTGATCATCAGCAGAGAGGAAGTGACCAGTAGTTTTCTGAAACTCAGCCTGAGATCAGCTCTTTGCAGATAGACTGGTGATAGCTATTATTGGTGCTGAGAGCACATTCAGTCTGTCTTGCTTCACATGGTAACATTCAGGTTCTGAATCCACCAAGGAAGATGAGCAGTACTTCTGATCAGGAAAGGCCACGGGGTTTGCCTCTACCTATGTAAGGACCTGGAACTGTCAAAAGCTCTAGACAAAAAACCCTGTGAGAAGTCTGATGGGTGTTGGGTGGCCAAAAACAAAACACTCCTTCATAATTTTGACGTTGTAATTCAAAACCTAGCAGGAACAACATTTTCAGGAAAGCTTAAATCTAAATCTCAAAGAAAATCAATTACAATTGACCTCACTGCATGAGATGGCTGATTATACAAGGTCACTTGCCTTTCTAGATGTGACTTTACAAGATACGTGCCATTTTTTTCCTGTTTTGTTTTATCATCAGCGTTTTCCCCCTTTCTCTGACGCAAACTACCCATATGTATTTTTTCTGTTCATTTATTTGTACAGTGGAAATTTTTGTATTCAGAATGGGTCACCAGCAAGGCTATAAAATCAGAGAAAAACAGGGAATTAAATTTGATTTAAGAAGAGATGTGATTTTTCTTTTTTCTTTAGAACCTTCTGTTTTCTGCCTTTTTTTTTTTTTTTTAATCTTAAAACATCTGAGAATCATTTTAGAATCCGGATACATCTGTTAACTATTCAGCCCACTCTCCTGCTTAATTAGACTAAGAAAGATCCCAATTCATATCTCTGAAACATGCTGTGACCCTTACAGCAAGACCACTGAAAACGAGACAGATTTCTCAAATTTCTCAAGTAAAAGGTACGCAGAAATAAACGTATTCTCGGGGTTTTTTCAGCTAGAATAATCAAGTAGTACAAGCCCATTTTCAGCTGAAGAGCTGGCACTGCTCGAGAGGTAACAGCTCCACCTACAGCCTGCCTGGGGGAAATCTCCCAGTCACCCGCAAACAAGCACCCAGGAACGTAATGCCATGACATCAAAATATTTTACAGTTTTCATTATTGTTTCCTCAAATGCAGTAACAATATACAGAAAAGGAAGAGTTTCATTGGCATGTGTAGGTGTGCTTGTAATAAAGCAACTCCCTACTTCCACAAGCATTAAAAGTTAAATTCTCTGCCATGTAGCCCTGTGCCTTTGACTCTTCTTGGATTAAAACAGCAGCTTGGGACAATTAGGGGCCAATCTGTTCTGCTTTCAAAGAGAGGAGTTCAGGGAAAGTTTGGGATTTTTCCAGCAGCACTTTGGACGTTTCTTTCATTAGCCAGGCTCTTTTGGGTTGCCAAAATAACAATGCAAACATCTATTGTAGGTGAAAGATCAAACTTTTAACAGGGAAGAAAAGTTGTTTCGAAGTTTAGAGAAGACTGTGAAATTGTGCCTGAAGAACATTTCACTCTCCTTGCACCATCTACAGGTGAGTACAGGACTTTTGGAAATCTGTGGCCACAAACCGCGTCCATAACCAGTTTAACACACATTTCTGACACCAGTTAGGCAACACCAAATTATTTATAAGCAAGCTTGTCTACCTCACAATATTAAATAAATAAGCTGTACTGCTGCTCCATTACTGAGCCCTTAGCGAAGAAGTTTGGAAGCCCACCCATCTGCATTTTTCCACTTACACAAGGGGGCTCACCAACTGCTTCTCATTAGAAATGGAAGAACTGAGTTGCAACCACAGGAATTAAAACATCCTAAAATACTTTTTATGGATGTGAGGACTCTGTCCGTCATCCTGTTGCTACATTGTGTTGAGGGCTAGCGTTAGTTGTACTGAGTGCTCAAATGCTGTAAGTGTCTTTGCTTTAATCCTCCATGCCAAAGATGTGGGTTGGCTTGTAACTTACCAACTTTTCCCTTTTTTTTAACGTTTGAGAGTTAGGTAAGACCACTTGCCAGCTGGCCAGACCTTATCGCAAATGCACCTCACCTTGGTTCAGCAAACAGGGGAAGGCCAGCGAGCTCAGCCGACAAGGGCTGTTGCCTGGAATGGTGTTGACTGTTCCTTATCCAAACGGATGCACACTTCATTAAGATTAAAATTCAGAGTTAGTTAAATACACCACTGTAGTCATACTTAGTCCTCTGAAAGAGGCCTTTGAGGGTGGATGGGTCTTGAGCTGGCTTCTTGCTGAGGAGTAGCTAACTTCCAGTGGAACATAGGTTGGGACATAATTTTTTCAGTTGAACATTAACAACTTGATTCTTAAATAGTTTACATTGAAAACAGACAAAATACAGGAAAATATTATCACAGCAAACAATCCCACACTGTCTGGAAACTGCACAGGTGTGAGAGATGGAAAATATTTCTGCTTCCATCAGTATTATTGCAGTATCTGCATGAGTGAATGCAGTATATTAAACCAGATCGTAATACGGTTTTACCTTCCTTCTATCTTCTCATTTAGGATTCTATACATCTGGCTGCACAGAATATAACTGGGCTTCAGGAAATCTTGCGAGACAAAGATGACGAAGTCAAGAACTGTTTGAAAGAACAGAACAACACTGCAAATCTCTGTGAAGACCTTGTAAGTTTATGCCGTGCCCGGTGTTACACAGCTATCTGTATGTGTGAGAAAACAGGTGTATGTGAGGAAGACTAGGACAGAAAAGAGGGAAAAAAACCCCTTAGGAATCCATTGGGAAAGATGAGTGGGATTTTTGGTTGAGTTTCTGCAAGAAATAAGATAAAACTCAGTGTTAAGTGCACTGTGTTTCCCCTAGAAGAGCTAATGAAAACTTTTCAAGCTAAATTCCTGTTGAATCCTTGTGCTAAGTTTGCATGTTTCACCTGAGCTTCAGGCAGGAGCAGCAGATCTTTGCTTTGCTGCTTTTGTTACCAACACTGACAGTTTTAGAGGGACTTTTGTGATCTCTGTTGTGCTTGTGAACTATTAGCCCCTGGAATCACAGACCTGTGAAAATCTCAGCTTTATTACATTTTCAAGTAAGTTACTATCCTTCATATAGGGAAACCATGACAAATCTGAATATAGCCCATAGGAATTAAAAAGCAATTAAAAAATACAATAGTTTTGCAACTAGTCTCTTGCTTTCAGGGTCCAAATGAACTCTAATGCCTGGCTCTACTAAAATAGACTAAAACATCTCCTCAACATGGGGCAGGCTGCTTATCCAAACAGCTGCTCAAGCTGGAGAAATTCAAAGGTGGAGGTTTTCTTATACTTTCCTAGGTTTGTGCTGACTAAAATATAGCCAATTCAATCCTTTCCAAAACACTGAAAACACTCTGCCAAGAAACAGAAGGATCTTTGACAGACCACATCCTCCCAGATAATGACAGAGAAGTAAGATGTTCTATTTCCTGTCCTTTGAAGTTCCCACATTTGAAAAGAATCTCAAAAATTCATCTCAATAATCAGAAAGATATTTGCAATGTTTTCACAATGAATGAGTTTATAAAGTGCAGAAGAGAACCCCTCTCTCATTGCAGTGGTGAGTGTGTCAAGTATGGAAGATGCCCCCATATTCAGAAGCATCAAAGAAAAGCAGAAGCAATTCCACAATAGACGAAACAGAAAATTTTTTTCAGAAAAAAATTTGTAAATCCTATGGGCTCATGAATCAACTATGCTGAAGGTCTACACAATTTAAAAAAAAAAATCCTGATCTCATTTTTTTAATTGTGGACATTGTTTTTAGCCATGTTAGTTTCTACTTATTTCTGTGTCTTGGATTTACAAGCTTACAAGGATTCTCTATCCTATGTATAAGGATTTTTTTTAAATAAAACTTTTGTCCTGGCATTGCATGATGAGTAGATGTTCTCACTGAACAACCCATAGTGTTCTTCACATGTTTACCTGAAAGGGTATTACAAATCGAGATCTCAGCAGTGGGCTCAAGTTGTTTTTTTCTTTTTTTGTTTGTTTTTTTTTTTGTTTTGTTTTTGTTTTTGTTTTTTGGGGTGTTGTTTTTTTTTTTTTTTGCTTTCTACATTTGTCAATACCTTCTTCTCTCATTCTATTTTAGGGAAAATTTTAGGGTAGAAATCCACAATAGCCTCTTCTCTTCCAGAAATCTGGTCCAGCAGTTTGGAAAAATTGTTTTCTTACTACATCAAAAATTGGTTCACTAACCACAGCCCGGTTTTTCAGGTGGAAATAACGTAGGAACTATCTAGCCAGTGCACATCCTTTTGGCCTTGGGAGAGCAATTCTGGTGCTAAAATGGATCTGTCCTCAACTGTGGTGTGTTACGGAGGGTAAAGGGACAGCTGCTCTTTTATTCTCACGTTCAACCCAACAAATTAATTCACATAGAACATCCAATAATTTTAATATGATGACAAGTTTCACTCACTACAAGCTTGTGCTGTATTTGAACAAGTGATTTACAAAAGTAAATTTTATTTCATGCAATATTAATCCCTTGAGACAATTAGACTAATGGAAAAGTCTGAGAAAGACTTTGTTTTTTTACCAGGTGCCTAATTTTGTTGATTACTAGAGATAGAACCAACAAGCACAACATAATTTAATCAAATCAAGTGACTGTTTGTGTTTGCTTAAACAAGAATTGAGTTACAGCTGTTTCCAGGGAAAGAAAAAAAAAAAAAAAAAAGAAATGCAGCTTTGATAGCGTTCAACACTGTCTTGTTAAAAGACCTTATTGCCTCTATACTGTATATTGGCATGGGCCTTCCAATTACGGAAATCCCAGTTTTATTGGACCACTTCACTGGTCCCTGCCCAGTTTTTCCTCGGTGGTAACACCCTAAGGGCAGTACTGCAGGCTGCATGCTCCAAGGGACCATTACCAGACACTTTAGGCTGCAAAACTTTTCCCTCTTCTTTGCAATGTTATAAAGGAGATTCTAACTCATGCTAGACCCTGCTTGAAGCTGTCTCTGACAGCAAGACTGTGAAGAGTAATTAACAGGTTGCCATCAGGTGTAACTGTGTCTGAAGAACGGTACAAATAAAGTAATAAGCAGGTCTGTTTTATACCTTTCCAGATGGCTCAGCTGGACAAGCTTGTTTTGACTCCTCTCTCAGCACTCCAAGCCTTGTTTTCAGGCCCACAGAAGCTCATCCAGAAGCGCTATGACAAGTTGTTGGACTACAACAGCTACCTTCAGAGGTCAACAGGAGAAGAGCTGGACCTGGCAAAGAAAGACTATGAAGCTCTAAATGCACAGCTAGTGGAAGAACTTCAGGTATTCAACAGAGCAGCCAAAAAGATTGTGTTGAACTGCCTGCATTGCTTCATCACCCTCCTCAGGAACATAACGTCTGCAGCGCTTCAATCAAATTCTGCTGTGGTGGTGCCTGTTCCAGTAAGTACACTACAAACAGGTGTAGCTCTGCCTTTATTTGTCTTTTTTCTTTCTGTATGATTTGCCTAGACTTACGTAGGACACATATCTACAAGCTACACTGATTTTGTTTGTTCTGCTGAGCAGAGTCAGGTTACTTTTTTTTTTTTTCCTTGCAAGCTCAGCAGAGGTTGAGAGTTTGAGTTTTGTCAAGCCTGGACTTTTCATCAAGAATGATCCTAATGCAGCTGTTCCAGCTGTAACAGCAAGAACATTACAGCAATGCAAAAAGGAGGCAGCTGCTAGGATTTTACTCTTTGTATCTTAGTGTCTACCCTGAGTAGCCCAGAAAACACAGGAAAAGAAATTTTAAGAAAGTACACGAACACTCCTATTGCTGCTAGACCTGCAGAGTCACAGATGACTGCAGAGGAGAAGCAGGTTAGGAGATCTGATGAAGTAATTTCTATGAAAAGCAAGTTGCTTTTAAACACAAATATACTGCAGAACCTCCTGCAGACATCTCTAGGCAGTAGGGAATATCTTTGTCTACGTTGGCATTTTTAGAAAGTTCAAATAATTTCACTTAATGTAGCCAAAAGTACCAAAGATACCAGCCTGAGCTACACAGAAGGGCAGCAGTTCCTCCAGCCCACTCCCCTCTTTCTGCACGCTATGATCATAACCTGAATATTGAAGTTGAGAAATTATTCTCAATTTGTGTGAAAATTCTACAGTGTTTCAGTTTTGTTGTACTTTTACCTAGAGGACCCACTCACCTGAACCGGAGCAAGACTCTAGATGGGAAACACCCTGTAGCAAGGCAATTCTGGAGTAATGCTTTCCATCAAGGCTTTAACACAGCTCTTTATAGTCAGGGGCAGCTGAAAAATTAAGAAGGCAAGGTCAGAATGAAAACATAGAGCTGTGCAGGTTAATGGGAAAATGAAGGCTTTTCCCGCATGAAGAAATTGCATCCCTGTAATTTGACCATTTCATATTTTGAAAGCTGTTGTATTGAGCATTGTTTTCTGTGAAGCTCTGCCTACACCATTACCTTCTTTTTCTTTTTTCTGTTTACATCAGCAAATACATAATTTGAAGTTAGGTACAGACCAAAAACACTTATCTAGTGCTGCCATGGACAGTGCTCAGCTTACCCAAGGATTTTTAACCTGGTGGCAGCACCCAGTTGCACAAACACACAGCTGTAGCGTAAACTGCTCCAAGCCTTACAGCACATTTGCATCTGAAAGCAGGTGGCTCAGTAGTATAAGTGCAAGGCTGTTCACTTTCATCACTGTTTAGAATATTTTTTTAATGATTTAACTTAAATTAATATGTCTGTTAAATCTAATAGCAATAATTAGGAACTTTCTTTAAGCAAGGACCTTTCTTTTCCTTCCATCTCATACCTAGCATGCTATGGGGTCTGCAGAAAACAGCAGTAACTTGTCAGATTTCCTGACTCCTAGCGTTCAGCCCGTTAAACCAAATCTGCTCTCTCAAATCTCCTTACCATTTTGTTCATGAGATCTCACCCACCTTTGTGTTTGCAGCTGTCTTCCTCAAGCATCTGTGAAGTGCAAAATCAGTTGATGGAGGAGGTTCACAAGCTGCATTTTGTAAAAGAAAACAGCAGTGCAACCTTTATCGAGAGAAAATTGAGCTTGGAAAAAAAGAAACCTGTCCCTTCTCTGGTGAGTACCATGCATCTGAACTGTGTATGAAGCATCCTCTTTTTATGACTTTTGAAACAAGTCAATTTTTATGCCACCTAGAGGTTTGGGTTTGGTCTCTTCACTGGGACTCAGAATGAGGTTGTTGGAATAAAGCTGTTCCATTGACCAGTAACTTCTGAAGATTTTTATCTGTTTTCATGTTATTATATTAAAAAACCACTTGAAATTATCTCAGACTACCCTAAAGTCTTTAACCATATGTTAAGTCTAAGGTTGGGTATGTAAACTTTGATTTCTTTTGTTAAATACTCTTACAGGGTGTCTTAGTCTTCTAATTCAGAAGAATTTTTTTATCCTCATCCTCAGCTGTGGTTATGTGTACTGGTGTTTACACACATAAGCACACACATACACCTTCACAGCAGAAGATGGAGAAAATCCACTAGGAAACCCATTTCCCCGTGGTTCCAAATCTTATCAGATATTTCCAGAGCCTTTAGGAGTCTAGTTTACAGTAAAATAAAAATTCAAGTGCAGATTTACAAGAGAAGCTGAGGAAGCTGTAGGATTCCTTTTAGCATCAGTAAGGCACATGTGCTCTTGCTTTTGCGGTATTGTTAAGATCACATTGACGTGTAGCACCTCCCTCCCTGCCCTCTAACCAAACTTTAACACACATCAGCTGACTTTCAGATTATGCATTTCTTGTGATATTACATAGGAATTCACAGATCATTGCTACAGAAAAACAATTAAGCAAGTGACAGTTCACATACAGAACACCGGCTCTTTAAGAGCAGGGGCCAGACTAAGAGGTGTTTAATTAGTGTAATTCCTACAGTACTTTAAAATCTGCCTTTTATTGCTCACCTATTACTATAGCAGTTGGACAGGTCCATGCTGCATGTGCAAAGGAGAGTTGGTTACATACAGCTGTGTAACTAACTCCTTGATCTGTGTATAAAAATACAAGGTCAGTTGCCATGTGTGCATATACTGGTTTTTATGCATCCGTGTTGCTGTAGAAATGGCCTCAGCATTATTCCCAGTGAATAATCTTTTTTGCTTTTCAGATCGAATCCCCACGTCAAACAGAAAGCCACAGGTCCAAGCTGCTGTCTACCTACAGCACAGAATTGCTATACCAAGCTAAGCGCAAGTGCAACGCCACGCAGGAATTTGATATTGATTTACATGAAGGAGAACTGGTGGCTGCTGTGGAGCAAAAGGACCCCTTCGGAAGTACGAGCAGATGGCTTGTTGACACAGGAAGTAAGTTCTCTGCACAAACATCCCAATAACAGCTTCCCTTCAGGATATTGATTTCTTTTCATTCTGGCCCCATCTGTTTGCCTCCGTTGTACTGACAGCTGCATAAGATGCTTGGTTTTGAAATGGCTTTAGCAGCATTTTGCTATTTGCTTATTTTCTCTCTTTTTATTCTGGTATCTAGTCCTTAAAGGGTATGTGTATTCCTCCTTCCTGAGGCCTTACAATCCAGCCAAAGCGCAGAAGGATGTGGCAGAAAACAGCTTTGGTGATGATGATTTTGATAATATCAGCCTCTTTGTCTCTTCACGGCCCTCCACTGACAGCAGCACAAGTCTGGGGCACAAGAAGAGTGACAGCAGCTCATCTCTTCACTTCTGCAAAAATCCCACAATTAATGGCACAGGGACTGATGCTTTTCAGGATATGGATGATCACCAGGTAAGTATGATACACACTGTGCCTGGCTTCTTGTTTTCCTTTTTCAAATCTAAAATTATACTACTTATGATTTAAAAGACTGGCACTAATCTGTCAGTATGACATGGAAATTTGTTATCCTCTGTTCTTTGCCTTTCTTAAATAGCTATGAGGTAAGAAAAGACAATCAGTTAAACCATGAATTGCAGTCCTGTCTCACAAAAAACACACCATTGCATTACCCCACCCCATGTACAACGCCTCAAGGATCTCCTATAGAGCAGAAACCTGCAAAATAGCTCAATTTGGGGGATTTTTCCACTGACAAGAAAGCTGTGGCAATGCTGATCAGCAGGACAAAAAAATGTCCCGTGTGCCACGTTTGATTTCAGGAGCTTTAGGAAAGGTGATTCTCTACCTTGCTGGAAAATTCTTCGTCCAATCCAAGGCTGCTTCGTGTGACAGAAACAGGCACATGGGATGAGCTGAAAGCCCTACTAGTGTAGTAAAGCGATGAAGTCTCAGAGCCTGGTTTGTTTGTTCCTCCCCATGCAGAATTCCCCAGATCCTTCAATTTTACTTTTTGTTTTGGCCCTGTTCATTGCAGTGTGTCTAGCAATTGTAGACCATGTGGTTGCACACTAGCTCATGTATGTTATTACACATTTTCTGTATATAGAATTCATACTAATACACAATGACAGGGTAAGATGTGGCTACGTTTCTGAATTCAGACTTTGGGTTTTTGTGGCTTTCCTTTTTCAGACCTTCTATGCTGTTTATGCATTTCAAGCAAGAAATGATCAGGAACTCAGTCTTCAGGAGTACCAGAAGGTTAGGATACTTCGGTTTTCTGACTTGAGCGGCAATAAAGAATGGTGGCTAGCAGAAGCAAAAGGTCAGAAAGGATATGTACCATCCAATTATCTTGGGAAGATGACATACGCTTAGGAACAGAATATTGAGCCAGATTCTCCAAAGCAGACAGAATAATAATCTATTACGGTTTGCAGCAAGCAAAGCAAACTCACAAGTGATTGACAGAAGCCATGGTATCTGGTACAGCACACAGATGATACTGAGAACCTCCATCCTCCAAAAGCCATCACCTTGTCAAGACCTGAGGGAGGAAACATTTAACAGGAAGACTGATTCTGATTAACATCTTGAAGAGCTTGCTCTTCTATTACCCCATAATTTTCTCTTTTGTCAAAGCGTCGTACATCAAAAGTCAACCTACAAATACAAATCACAGCTAAAATTATGTTTTTCTTCCATGATATTTAGAAAAAAATATTCAAGATTAAGAAAATTAGCCTTGAAAAAGGACAAATTCAGTCTTCAGGGATGCTGTAGTTCAGACTGAATTGTTCCTGAACTGCTATCTCAACGAACATGTCTTAAAACTTGAGCTTTTCAGTTGTCCGTTTTTATCCTCAGTCACTTCTGTAATGAACCTTTTTTTCAGTGGAGATTATTGGAGTGGGAAAACAAGAAGCATTTAATTTTTGTAGGAAACATTTCAACTTAAAACATACCAAATGTGGTGGTACTAGTAGCTGGTCCCAGGGAAGAAAGTATGTTCAGTCAAATATGGAAATTGGGGGAAGGAAAGAGGGGACACAAGAAACAGGTACTGTGAAATACAGACATTATAATTTTCAAAAAAAATTACACAACTACTTCATATGGTAGGAAACACTTTGTAGCAATATGAAAGCACCCCAAGTTTGAAATTCCACACTAACTACTTTACAGTGCAAGATCTGTGTAGTGAAATGAAACCTGTGTTATTAGACTTGGGAAATTTACTAAGATGTAGAAAAAAGGAGAGTCAAACAGTACCTTTCTCTGTATATTTACTGCCTATCTGATTCCTTAGGTTAGATACAGGGATCATAATGTCTAGTGAATAAGTTAGGACTTAGGATGCATCAAAATTTCTCTTCCAGAAAAAAAAAAAAAAAATTCTCAAAGTGTCTGATGTTAGACTGAACACTGAAGAATGTATCAATGAGCTGATTCACTGTTCACAGAAGTCAGAGTCAAAAGCCCTGTATTTTGCTAAAGTGTCTTCAAAGTAGTTGAGGCTATTTTAACAAGTCAATATAGTTCACATTGCATCCTCAAATTGCATAGAAAACAAAAAACCCCAAGGAAGGATCTGAATGTCAAGTAGTACTTCCTTAGGTTCACTGACTACAGCGATCCTTAGGTCAAGCTGTGCACTACACTTGAGCTAGACTGAATAGTGATATAACAACATCTTGTTGCCATTACCATCAATAACTGAGTGTTCATCGCAATTTATTTCAATACAGCAATGCCTAGGTCCTCTAGTGATGAGTGAGAACCTTCTTGTGCTAAGCATTGCAAAAAGGAAACAAAAAAAGTGACTATGCCTGCAGCTGATAGTGTAATTGGAGGTAAACTCCTGTCAATTGTTTTCTGTACTGCTGCATAATTGCTTATCAGTGACTCACCATTAAAATGACAACACTATTAAAATTAAGGGGGGAGGATGCTTCTGATCAAGGGTATACAGAAATTGTTCTAAAGCTTTTGTGTAAGTTACTACTTCCTATAGCTGAAGTGCCGGGTATGAAGATGAAAAAAGGTAAAGAAAGTTCTCAGTCTTGCTCGGAAGATTAACGTAGTGGATCACAGAGATGAGAACCTGAAGTTTGTGCTGGATTAAATCACATGATAGAGAAACTTTTTGAGTTCTCCGAGATGTATATCCAGAAACTGGTATGTGAAACTCTGTGAACTACTGCAATGCAATGAGCAGGAAGAATAGATAATGCATTATTTTGCCCTACTGTACATCACCTCATGCACTTACCTCTTGCTGTTTCCACAACAAGCAAAAAAGGTTCTCATCCGTTTTATTAATGGATATAGCTAGTTTTTACAGAAAACTTTGCCTTTAGTTAAATGAAGAAAATAAAGCTTTGGAGAGGGTGTATCAGCCTGGAAGAATGGACTGAAAGACTGCAATTCACTCTACCCTACTCGGTTTGCACTGCTTTGGCTTTTATATTTTAAGATCATGGGGAAGATGCAGACAAGAAGCTTTTCAGTATGTCTTACAATTTAGAGTATTTTATTTGGAGATGATCTGTACTTTGCAATAGTTGAAACAGTTTCAGAAATGACTGAATTGTACTTAATAGGCTTAATGTACTCATGTAAGTTGCACAATGATGAAGTTTTGTATTTCAGATTGTGAAATTAATTAAGGGCAAGAGTCAGAAAAAAAAGATTTCTGAAGTCTTAGTTCTGAGAACTCACCTTGAGTCATAGGGAGAGCTCTGATTGTGAGTGTTAGGTACATTCCCCATGAAAAATCAGGCTCTGTGAAGGTGTCTCGAAGTGTACTCAAATGCTGCTCTCCAAAGTATTCACTAGGTATCCTGAAAAAACAAGGAATGAAGGATGAAGTATACTGGAGCTGGCCACCTAATTTTCATTGAACTTCTGTGGGATTTGGGAACTCCTAGGAGGCCATATGAAATCCCAGTGTATGGTTAGGACCCAGAATAATATTTATATTGGGAGATAATTTATATTACTTTATTATATCCTTATAACTTGGGATCCACAAAAAGTACTTTATTAGTACCCAGGTGGACTGGTTTACTTAATTTCAGAAATTCAAAGTTTTAGCTTTCATAATTTGATATTACAGATATATTGCAAACTTTTATTTTTGTTTAAAACAGGTGAATGCAAACTACAATTGCAAAAAATTAAGAGATGCTCTTTGAATCTAAAGCCTTCCTACATTAAGGATATTTACAACAATTCATATTAGACTTGTCCAGATGCATTTTTATTAAGATAGTATTTTAATACTAGAAACTGAGCTACGTTAGGGCTCTAGAAATTCCCAAGAATATGCAATGTGTTTGCAGCTGTTTCTTTAGTGTAGATAAGGTTACAGTATTCTAAGAGTTTTCTTATTCTGATCAATGAAAAAATAATTTATTTTGATTGAAGCAGGGACAGGCTGCAGTTTAACAGAATGATCTTGCATTTATTCAAATATGCGTTTTACTTACTTGAACCATTGTGACAATAAGCATGTACAAGTACTTCCAAGATTGGGTCCACTCAAACTGAAGTGTTTCTCCATTCAGGGAATATTTTTAAGTGTTGCTATTGATAACCTGGAACCCAGAAAATGTCCAAGCTGATGAACAACAAAGAGTCTCTGGCTCTGACCTCTGGCACCTGTGTGCTTCACTGTGCTTGTGAACCTTAAGTAAGGGTTCACCTTTTCAATGCAAACACAAATTGAAGAATTACTCCTCCTGACTTTTCATCTTAGGAAGCTTCACTGAGTAATTACCTCCTTCAAACATTGAAGTATACTTTTGCTGTCATTTTAAGATACCTTGTAAAAATGCAGATACGTGAAGCAGACCTAACACCTGCAATAGGAAACACAGCTGTGACAGTCCTTGTGCCTGTAGATCTATTACTGATAATTCCTATTATAATATGGTTTGTTCAGAAATGATGAAAAAAAAATCTTAAATTATTGCAATAATAAAAATATATTTTTTCTAAGGATATGTTTATTTTTTTTCTAAATAAGACTTTGTCCAAAAGCAAAGAGCTTTATATGCTATCCAAGGTCTGCCTTCTGTTGTGAACTATAAAAAAAACAACACTGCAAAGTTAGCAGAGCAGAGGAAATAGTTGCCTCAGATAAAACACTGCATTTCTAGTATGCATCCTAGCTTATCCATCAATATATTAGAACTTGTCAAACACTATCAAACTACTGAGCAAGTTTCAAAATACACTTCAAGTTTCCAAATGTCAGCTTATAGTTGTGTTCTTTTCCAGCTGCTCCTGAGGTCGTGACCACTCTTTACTGCTGTGTCCAGCCAGAGGTCTGTCATGAGGTGTATCAGAAAAAAGCTCGTGTTATTAAAACAAATTACAGAACTTGGCATTAGAACTTTCCTCTTAGACCCAGATATCACCAGCATCCCATAGTCCATTCAGAAGGAGCACTCACAGAACCAAAGAAACCTATTGTTTCCCATTACTAAAGGTATGAGAATTTGGGCATCTATGAGGAAAACATCATATTTAAGTGGAAGTAAAATATTACTGTACCAACTTATAAAATGGATAAGGAAAGTCAAGCTGCTATTTTCATAGTAAATCACAAAACAATTTGGTTTGGGGATAGAAAAACCACAGGACTATTTTCCAGTTATTCTTTTCTAAGTATGAGGTATACTTCTCAAAATTCAGAAAGGCCTCCCTTCTTCCTGCCCTACGCTAGGTTCCTCAACCTGAAGTGTTATATTTTACTGTAGAACAGGCCTCTTTCCTGAAAATACAGTTGTTAATTCCATCCTACCTATAACTTCAAAGCAGAAAGCAACTGTTCCCTTCAACCTGCTCTGCTTTTCAGCACTGCCTATCTTACATATTCAAGCTAAACACCTGATTTAAAAGACCAGGTCTATGTTATAAATCCTTCCTGATATAATACTTCAAAGAATCACAATCCTAACTGACATTTTTATACCAACAGAAGGAGACTTTATATTTCATTTAGGAAGCTGGGAAAGCTACCATGGAAGAAAGTCTTTTGCCAATACAAATTGCAGCTCTATTGCAGATTCTGATAATACAGTGATATCAGCAAGTCCAGCTAGACTTGGCCTTATTAGAGGGAAAAGACAGGCATGGATAAAAGGTATAGCATATATAAATTATGCTATATCCTGAACTCCTTTGTATCCTGTGGGAGCAGGTTTCACTACTAGAATGAACACTTCACATAGGAGCACTCCAGCCATTAAAAGAATCTATCTTCACGCTGTACTTCATAGCATAGACAACATTTTTGTGATTAACATTTAGGAAGAAAATATGCATTCTGTGTGCTAATGGAAACTGTTTTCATTGTCCTTTCCCACTACACCACTATTAAAAGCCTTCTGTGCTAGCAAGGAAGAAGGATGGGCTGATCGAAAAGCACTCATGTTCTGGATTCCTCCTCCTCATGCTGTTATTTTTAAATCACCCTGGAAGCTGCAGGTACTACTAAGACAGAACCTTTCTTTTTTTCCTCCACAGGAAATAGTATTTGAAAAAGCATGCAAATTCTCCAGGTAGCTAAGGCAATCCTGAGTAAATGAAACTACTCCTTTGGATGCTTAAGGAAACTTAGCCTAAATCTTAATTATGGAGAAGAGAAAAGAGGTATGGGAAATAGCTGCATGTATCAGCTTTACACATATTTAAAATAAGGGATGGTGAAGAAAAGCTGTAGCTTTCACCTACCTATGGAAGTCTGAGATGTTTTCATGTTTAGAGATGCTCCCCTCATCACAGAAGGAAGAGAGGATTGCTGAGTGCTGGTCACAGACAGCAAGACTCCAGATCCTTTTCCAGTGTTCAGCTTGCGCCATTTCTTGAGAGCCGAACAAAACCTGGTGCAGCTGGGACAAAGGGAGTGAGCATAAGCTGTGAAAAGAACAGCTCAAGGGTGAAAGTGGAGAGCTGGAACACCTGATACTTTCTTAACTACCTGTTTTAGCTGTGGTGGGTAAAGCATTAAGTGTAACCTGCATGTGGCTGGGATGAGTTTGAAGGAGTGCAGCAGAATCCGTCAGCATACACAGAAAGAGCTGAAGGGAGGCTTGCGGGTGCAAGCGCCAGGTTGAGTCAGGAAAAAGCCCCAAATGGCTCCACAGGAAGCTCCTGCAAGGCAGTCACAGTGCCTACAAACCTCCTTTGGAACAGCAAACAGGCTAAGTGCAAGACTGTGCTGGGGGGTGGAAGCAACTTACATTCTGCAAAATAAAGAGACAAAGCTGATCCCACCCAACGCCCTGGAAGTGGGAATTGAACCTATTCAGCTTGAACAATACTCACACAGAGACAAATTCCTCTTCCTCCCTCCCTGTCCCCCCTTCAAGTTCGTAGTTTTATTAGCAGTTAGGCAGAAGACCCAAAGTGCTGCTAGGATACAAGGCACCTTGAACACTACTGATGTCTGTATGCAGCTCTGGCCTGGCACAGCTTCTCTCTTGCAATAATCCCGTGGCATCTGCTTCATTTCCTCCTGGAATTCAGACACTCAATAACAATGCAACATAGATATGTAAACACAGATATGACAGTTCCCATAGTGATGTATTCCACACAACTTCTCAGCACAACAACAAAACAAGAAAACTTTGCCTAAGCAGGGTTAAAAAACCCAATTTTTTTCCATTATCCTTCATGAAAGCAAAATACAAACCCTCATTTTCATGAAGGGCTAAGGGAATACATTCAGATCTCTCAGCAATCTTTTCTATTTAGAAGTCTGTGCTATTACAAATATTTTTGACATATTTTAATAGCTAACATACTTTATATCACTATTTCAGACACTTGCAAATCCACAAAGGAACTTGGAGAGAGGAAAAAAGGAAGACTGTGAGTTGAGGAGAAAGGAAACGGGTTTCTGAATGCCTCTGCCCCCTGCCCAAATCAAACCAACCCTTTGGCTATGGGAGGGAGCGTATTAGTGGCATATTAGAATCCCCGTTCTGGGTTACATGGATCCTAATGCTTGGCCTCCTAAGTTCCAGACCCCAGCCCTTGTGCCTTCAGACACTGTTGGCAGGCTCACCAATCCAAAATCCAAGCAAGGAGCTTGCCACACATCTATAAAAATAAGACTCTTCTAAATCTCCAACATATTCTGGCCCTCCAACCCTTCTCCCCACGCTTAAACCCACCTATATAGAAGCCTTGGAAGATCCAATGACAATATCCAGTTAGAAGAAGTTCTGCAATGCTTGCTAGTAAGTTCAAATATGAGGTCTTCCAGCTGATTTGGGAAAGCATGCATGAGCAAGGAGTCTTCCCTACGAAACACAAATCACTGAGGGAAAGGGAAAAGAAACTGAACTTTTAGAATAGCCACTACCCATTCGCTATTTTGAGTATCATGAAGGAAGACATGCACTTGGTATGCACCTATTCCTGTTTCTACCTCCCAGAGAAATTGCTGGAAAAGGTTTTCCAACTGATTTCAAAACTCCGTAACAGACATTTTCTAAAAAGCAACAAACTCCTCTCCTTTATCTAGAAACTAGCTGACAGGGCTAAAAAAGTTAATCTATCTGAAGTGTGGAACAGTGACCAACACTGTCACTAACTACTGAAGAGATTTCTGTCTTTGCTCCTTCCTTGTATGAGAAAGCAGTAATTTTAAATAATAATCATACAGGCTATCGTAGAACAGTTAAGAGAGTAGCGGCTTCATTTTCCAAGATAGGGTGGCAGGCAATACTCCTTTGACATATGCAAAGCTTGTGAATTTTATAGTAATACTTAACAGCATGGAATACTTAGGTGATCAAAAAGTCCTCTGTGTTTCAGGTGTGCCAGAAAGGAAACTAACTTATTGACACCTAAGACAATTCCCTTCCTTTTCTTCTATTTTTCCCTCTCTCACATCAAAGCAACATGGTTCAATCAAACTGTGCATTTCATTAAAATATACACTGCCTACCGCTTATTTTCCATTCATATTCAACAGGACAATATTAAAATTCTTCACAGATTAAAAGAGCTTGAAAACACTGTTTTGGCACTCTTTCATTCTTTTTACAGGTTAGGAGCCATTTATCTTCTGCTAAAACTCTTATCTCCTCCCTCAGAGAATTACACCACCACCAGGACCCTTGAAGTTTCTCACTGTATAAAAATAAAATAGGCCACTTAAAATTCTCACTTCAAATAAAATTTGTTGTTTAACCATTAATTTTTTGCAATTGTTTAAAAAAAATACATTTTTTCCCTAAAGAACTGTATCATTTAGGATAAACTTCATTAACTCTGCACAATATAGACAACTCTAAATAGGTGAAGCATTTTAAGTAATGGAAAATGAATGAAAAAAAAGCAGCAATGGTTTCCCAGATTAATAACACTTTTATTAACAACATTTAAGAACAACAGTTTCAGTTAGTTCAATTTATTAAGTGTCCACATGAATCTGTTTTTTTTTATACTCCAAAATACCCAACTTTTAGGATTTCAAGTTTCAGCGCTTTGAGATAAAAAACAAGAGCATATAATAGTGAATTCCTCCAACATATTAAATTCATAGATCTGCAAAGTCAGAAGGAATACTAGGATTATCAAAGTTTGACCTCCTGTATAACAAAGGTTTTGGGCTTCCCTGATTTAACTACTGTTTCAGTCCAGTGACCTGGGGATTTTCTTTAAGAAAAACACCAACGCTGCTTTATGGCAGAACACAACCAAAAAAATTAGCAAGCAGCCACACTACTTCTTGAGTTTCTTTTGAGCAGCCTTCTTCTTGACCATTTGCAACCTTTTCATAGCATTGAGCTGAGATTCCTGAGAGGTCGGGCCTTTGAGGGAGGCTGACTGATTACCAGTATCTGCTGTGCTTTTGCTTGCGCTGCCCCCACTGTTACCTGCAGTCCCACTGTTGCCATTCCCGCCGCTCACCTGGCTGCTGGTGCTCGGCGCAGTACTGCTGGGACTAGGAAGACCTACTTTGCTGACATTGTCGCTGCTTACGGACCGGCTGAGAGTGGTTTTCCCCAGTGTCAGAGGCGGAGGAGGTTTCAGCTGAACAGGGTTTGTGCTGTTGTTGGCAGAAGCTATTTTTGATCCTAGTCCTGTTTTGGAAGTTGCCAACCCTGACAAACCCACAGGTTTCTGGTTATTTGAAGAAGCTGCAGGTTTCCCGCTGGTGTTCTGCGCTGTTGATCCCAGTTTGGCAGTTGATGGGTTGGCAGAGGAGGTTTTGGCTGCAAAAGCAGCCCATCCTGTAAGGCCACTGGTTGCTGAAGAAGAAACACTCGTACTGGCCGAGTTCCCTGAAATTGCTGCTGAGGTCTAAAAATAAATACAGCATTCTTATTATAGTAGCATCTATTTGTGTAACACATCACAGCAGAAATAGATCAAGCCTCTCTTTCAGTTCTTTTCCCAGGGAATACCCAGTGGACAATATTTGATCACTGGTCACTATAGTTAAAAGTATCAACAAGAAAAGGAAAGGATGCCAAGTGCAGACAACTTTTAATTTCACAGCCACATAAAAGTAATATTACCTTTTCTTCTCTTTCTTCTACACAGCTAACAGGCCATCATATGGCATTGTGATCCCCCATAAACTCTAAAAGATGGTTAAACTGAAGTAACTAGAAAAAGCCCAAATTTGTGAAGCATAAAAAAGGGAGGCAAGACACCACATTTTATGGTCTACTGTCGTTACCTGGTGTCACTTTTTAATAAGATGACACATGCTCAGACAAAAAAAATCAGACCATGAGCAATTCAGTATTGCATTTATTACAGTCTTTTGGTCAAAGCAGAAGCATCTAAAATTTTCACTTTTCTTCCCTTCCCCTGTCTTGGTTCCTAGCAGCCTGTACCAGAGATGCAATTAAAACAGAAAAAAACCAGTCACTGACTTCTTTCCTCTATTCTTCCCATTCAGGCAGTGCAAAAGACAAACCTCTCACAAAGTTTTCTTTGCCTGCAAAGTGCTACACATTAACTGCAATTCCCACACCTCAAAACCTATCATCCCTCCTTTTCACCTGGGGGTAATACACACGTGAAATTATTAAGCCAGAGTTACACTAAACGGCAGAGTCAAAATGGAAACGAAAATCCTCTATTGAAGTAAAATCCCTTCCATAATATATCCAGACAGTTTCTAAACAGTAAATATGATGGATGAAATCAGGCATCACTCTTACAACCCGTTTACACACATAAATAACTCTGCTGAGGTGAAAAAAGTTATGCACAAGTATAAGTGCTTGAGCAATAGCCATCATGTTATTTATTCATGACGGTTCGCATCCAGGCAGAGCATTGGCAAGCATAACTTTGAGCACATGAATAATTATTCTGACCCTGAGTTATAGATGTGTTTTCCTAGGTTAGGGCCATGCTTTGTTGGACTACCTTCTTATTTATTATGCTGCTTCCGGTTTACCACCTTTGACCAACTTCCGACAATATTTATTAAATAACTTGGAGAAGCAGAAACATTAGCCAACATATATGAGAAGGCACAGACTCCTAAATTAGATCTCTCAGAGTCAGCTAGGGTTTCCCTGCTACCCTGAGGCGAAGCCTTACAACCACCAAAACATGCATATGTTACTTGATCACAGACAGCAAATTATATCTTTTATACAATTATGAGGATTTCTACTTGCATAAAATATCATTAAAAAATCCCTAGAGTAAATTCTGTTTTCTCCCTTGTAACATAAAAACACAGTCACGAGCTCAATGCCTCAGGGACTCATAGTTGAACTGAGGTTTTTCTTCCCACTCTTTTAGTGTTAACGCAAAACCACTATGCTATAGTATTACTCAGTACACATAGTATAGCAGACTGTATTTGTTCATGGTTTTTGTGAGAAAAGGTCAAACTAATTGAAAAAATTATAATCTATGCAGTGAAATATAAATTAATCCTCTGGAAAACTTAAGCTACGTTACCTTGACTTCTGTTCTCTTGAATGCTAGAAAAGTTGTTGGGGTTTCAGGTTTTAACTTAATTTCTGGCTTCTTGACCAATGGATCTTTCACAGCTGGTGCAACTGAAACCACTGCAGGAGCTGGTTTTTGAGGTGGTTTTTGTGTCTTCTGAGCCTGTGTAAGTGGTAGAAAACCACCCCCCCAAATTAGTTATGGGCCCCATAACATTGACTGTTTTGACTGTTACCAAAAAGCACGAGCACTATCAGATTGCAATCTAGCCTTCACAATTTCAAGCTGAACAGTGTCCAAGAAATAAGGTAACAGGGGATGTGGAGGTAGTGCTGATGTTTTGTTTCTCACAACATGATGAGTGGGATTCCTGTGGGATCACGAATAATCTGTTTGTTTAGCCAAGAAATTAACACGCAGATCAACCAAAATAAAGGGATTTTTTCCTGGAATGTGCTACCCATAGCATACTATCAAGCCTGAAAACACTCAGCACTTAAGACCTGGACTGAAATTTGCCGTCTTGTCTTACAGGAAAACAACCACTCATGTCCAAAGCTAAGAAGAAAACTAAAACTGTAGGGCTGCTTGGTAGAAATGAACTAAAACTCAGTATCACCTGAAACAAAAAAAGTTTTCAAGTGCTGCTTACCAAGTAGGAAATAATCCAATTTCACTCTTCTTCACTCAAATTCTGCTTTTTAAAAAGCCTTTTTTAAGAAGCACATGACAGAATACTCTTTGAGATGCTACATTAAAAACACACAGCTGCAGCAAGGGAAGCACTGCTGAGAAAAATGGTTCTCCAACATGCTTCCAAAGATTCCTGCAACCTATAAAATAATCTACATATTAGAAATGGCCTGCTGTATTCAGATAGTGCTCGTATGAGACAAAAAACTGACTCCTACCATTCTCTTCATCTGCCTGGTACAGCGGGCACAATACCATACAAGTCGAGGATCATTCACTTCCTTGTCTGTCACCTGAGGTTTATGGCAATCCTGGTGGTAGAGATTATGGCACTCCTGACACTCCACTAGCTGATTCCCAGAAATAACTGTCATCTGCCTGCAGAGCAAATAGTTAAAAACAGATTATGGGAGAAAGCACTGAAAGGATTATCCAATTGTTGCAAATTTTGCAAGGCTTAAGATAAAAACTAAAAATATTCTTGCTTTCACATATATTTTCTACCTGTGTCAAATTAAATGTATTTCTTTTCTTCCTGCATGAGTTCTTTCTAACAGATATTTTAGAAATTTTGTATTTTCTAATGGTAAATTCTCTCAAGAAAATCTAAAACTTCTATACTATTAAACATGTTTATATGACACTTTTGATCTCTGTTTGATTTGCTTCACCTGGGGATTTTATAGAGACCTCACTGTATACCAATTATGACTTCCTCGTTAGATTAGCATAAGAAGGCCTAGTCTACATTTGGATAATTTTGCTGTAAGCTGTAGAGAAATACAGTTCAAGAAGAAAAAATTTCTCAATGACAATCTTGTAAGAGTGCTTTCTGCTACAGGATTTAAAAGCATCATCACCCAGGCTGTATACTACTTCAATGATGTTTTATTAGCCATCCTTTTTGTCCCTGCCACACAAATAGAGACTTGGAATTTGAGATAATACCAGAATCACGGAAAGACGGAATAGAAAGGATTAACTGTGCAGTCCTGTCTTGAAGCAAACATGTAAGCTGGTGATGAGGACTTAATTTTGCATGGGCTTCTGGTGAAAGTAATCACGCTGTATAAATGACAAATTAGTGATAGACACATGACTGGGAGTATGTCTGTGAATTAGCCAAATACCATTTTCCTAATGATTTTTTTCTTTCAGATGACAAATCAGGCTATTTAATTGCTAAGCTGCTTTTGCTCATATTCCTGAGGAGCAGGTACCCCGGTAACCATGGAAACTCTATTTGTAGATAGGTGGGGAAAGGTAATACCTTATTTCTTTATATACAGGAAAATGAAGTCTGAAGGTATTGTCCATATGGATGCTAGAACATTTTCTAAGAAATATTTCTCTTTTATATGGGCTATTTAAAAACAGAGGGAGAAACCTTTCTGAAATTCCAGGGCCTATTATTTTAGATGCAGGATATTTCAAAAGCCTTTTTCTTTGTTTGTTATTCGTAAATAAACTGGGTCAGAACAAAACAGTGATGTTTCAACCCCATGTCTCAAGGGAGAAGACTCACTCTATTTTAAAATTACAAAAAACAATCCCAGACTGATTAAAAAACCATGAACTCTTCATGTTAAGAAACAAGTTAAACCAGACTGATTTTTAAATTATATGATAACCAAGAAACAAACCTAATGATTTTTTTTACTTCCAGAAAACAAACAAGAAAGCGTTCATAAAAACCAAGGTTGTTCTTTTAAAACCAGAATTTTTTTTAAAGATGTATTTTTTGGTTTCTTTGACAGCAGAGTTCACTATCATCTGTAAACTGCATGTGCTATTTCTTCTTCCTTTAATGGAAGAGCCATGTAACTGGTGAGTTGTGATATGACACACGGTGCAACTGCTTACCACGCAATGACCAAAGCTGAGCCCATTCTCGGCTAATGATCCCAGAGCAGAGAATCCCAAAAACACAATTGCAGAAAAGAGAAGAGCCCAAGAGTCCGAGAGACAGAGAACAAGAGCTGACCGAGCACGCAAGAGAACTTCTGGACAGAGCCTCATCTCTGTACTGGGCATGACATGAATGATATGGAATAGACCATTGGCCAGTTTGGGTCTCAATCCTAAACCTAAGGTCAAATCCTAAGCCAGTAATTGGGGCTGTGCTCCCTCCCAGCTTCTCCTGCACCTGCAGACACTGGTAAAGTATAAGGGGCTGAAAAGTCCTTGATTGTCCTGGCAACAACTATAAACATAAGTACGTGATCAGCCTTCTCAGCACAAATCCAAAACACAGCCTCTCACTAGCTACTATGAAGAAAGTTGACTCTGTCCCAGTCAAAACCAGGACACTCCTAATCACAGTGAAAATACATTTGACACTTAGCAAATCTTGAAGAAACATTTAAATGTTTCTACTATAGTTTTTACATCTATAAAAAAGAAATAGTTAATACTCAAATGTGCTCTTTTCGCATTTGTGAACTCACAGCTTCATTCTTGTTAACTTGTCTTCTTAAGCAATATAAATATGGCCGTGAACCTTCGGCCATGAACCTCACCTACTCTGCAACTGGGCATGGTGTTTTCACTCACAATTGATCGAGTCACTAAAATACGTCAGCTTCTAAACACTATTCATACTTGAGTTATTATACAGAGCATCCAGTGCTTTTTACATTTCATATGTACTGAGGTGTTACTATTTCGGCTCCAATTCAGATCCAATTTTTGAGCCCTTACTGAAAAGTAAAAAGAACCTGTCTTGACTGCAAGATATATTTATGCTGTTAACTGAAAAAAAGTGGTTATGAGTAAACTAATGTTAAATGATTACGAAAAGAGAAGCAACACACACAGATCTCATAATGCTACTAAAAATGTTTTCAGAAGAGAACTGATTTTTTAAAATGCTTATTATTAGCCATAAATATTTCAACTTATTTTCCCATAAATAAAAATCAGTATTTGTCATGATAGGTTTTGCATCTTGTCTACTTTTATTTTGAACTTGACCTTTCCTGAAGAAAAGCTTGTTTTCTCATTAAAGGTTCAATTTTCAATAAGTCATTCTTATTCATGAATGATGCTTACATGTATTATTAATTTTGAATATGTGCTTAAGTGATTTCCAGAATAAAAACTACAGGAAGCATTAACTCAATAGGACACAGAAAAAACCCAAAAACACAATTGCAATGAAGCAATGTTGACCTACCTGCAAACAACACAGGCTAATCCCATTTCCATAGCAAAGTCATCAGCACTGGTTTCCTCAAAGCTAGATAAATCAGGCATGGATAAATCCTTGCTCGTCTGAACCGTAATAGGAGAGGAACGAGCCTCTTGCTTTTCTAGTCTGGGCTTCTTTGGTGTATCAGCTCCTTCAGCCGTATCCCCTTTTATCTATTAGACACACATACAGAGAATGTGAAAATGCAAAAAGCTAACGGATATTAAATGAGAAAATGTCTGGAACAACTAGGTTAGCAGTATAAGGTGTACTCTACACAGCATACACACAACATATTTTCCTCAGATACATATTTTCTTCAAAATAATTATGAACTAGAATATCAAGTCCACTTTTTATACTTCAAGTCAAAATCCTTGAAAAAGCTTTGGGAATCCTACATTTCAGCTTGCTACTTTTTAGTAACCTCTTATAAAGATATTTGAAACATAGAATGGTTTGAGTTAAAAGGGACCTTTAAAGGTCATCTAGTCCAATCCCTCTACAATAAGCATGAAAAACATTCACAGAATAATTATGACAAGACTTTCACTGGACTGCCTAAATGGCAACACGATTGGATAATGCAGCTCACAAGGCTATGCCCAAGTAGATGAGTTGACTTACACAGGTTAAAAACGAGAGCTTTTATCTAAACATCTTGAAGTTTATTAACCTAGTTATTTCACTAGAGAACAACAATTACTTACTTTATCAGCAGATCTCTTTTCTGTTTCTTTCTTCACCTTTTCTGATGCAGTGGGCTTGCCATTGTTGTTGCCAGAAGGCAAACTAGAAGCAGCTTTAGGCTCTTGCTTACTGGAAATAGGTTTGGTAACAGATACTTTTGGCTGCTCTACCTCCTAAAAACAGGGAAAAAAAAAATTGAAGGCACACTCTATACTTCATGTACGTCCTAGTTTGCAATTAGTTAGATAACAGGTTAGGCAAACAACTTGTCATACAGCATTGATCACCTATGTATACACCTTTTTTTTAACATTTCTTAAATATTTTCATATCACATCAACAAATTAGTGTGTTTAAGCTGCAGTCAATTATTAAAACCTCTCCTTATCACTCACTTTCCAGAGGAAAAAGTGCTTTTTCCAAAGACAGATCTTCTTTGGAACATTAATTAAAAAGGAAAATTTTTCTGCTTTTAAAACTCAGAGATAATGAACACAAATTTTCAGATAGCTCTGAGGACAAAATTCAATATAAGCTGAAAATATAAGTTGACATTTGATGTCACCAGACATCAATACTTCATTCCCTCATTGAGAAAAATATTGACATTCACTTAATCTCAGTCCATATTCACCTATCAGATTAATAAATTTAGATATCAAGAGATATCAATAGTTCTTATCAATGATGCATTACTGTCAGCAATGGATAATAAGGAAGTGAGTCTGTAAATGAGTGATTAATTACAGCAAAGTGCATGAGCAAGGTACCCCCTCCCAGCTTGGTAAGAAGGAAGTAATTCTCTGCTGCATACTGGGACAGATCCTGAGCTTCAGCCCTCCCGCAGGTTTGCTGACTTCGTCTTGCATCCAGGGTCAGAAGTGGATTTCCTCATCTACTTGACTGTAGTAATCCTGTGCTCCTTACTCTGTTCTTGGATTTCACGGTCAACTACAAACTAATCCTGCAGCCTGAGAATACAAGGAAAGGAATTCTGGTACTTTTTTCCATTTCTGAGCTTTCCTGTCCAGTTGATACTGGAGACACACTGAAAAGAGGGGAAAAAAACCTTCTTCCTCTGGCTTTAGCCTCAGTCTCACCTGAAGGCAGATGACTACCAGCCAAGCTATTATTAGAACTGGCTTCCCAAGGCTCTTTGTACTATTATTTGGCTCCCTGCTTCCTCTTTAAACTACAAACCAATGCTTCTTTGAGCTCTGACATAGAGGGGTCCTGAGAGTTTTGAGACCTGTGTCAGAGGGAACTGCAGTTTAGGTTTCAAGGAGTTAACAATTTGAATAGAAAGGACATTACAAGCATCATGTAAACAGTAGCAGTAATATTGCCTTTTAGTCGTTCAGAACCACCTCAATGTAGAAATGAAATATTACTAATGTATCAGCTTACGGACCATCGTTAGAACGTAACAGGCTGACATCTAGGCATCCTAGGGGAGAACACTACCTCATTATCCATATGGCAATATGTACCAACATGAGGAGGTCCCTGCTTGGTTATTTCCATACGCTAATCTTAGATTCAAATATTCTCTCTAGCAGGTGTTTAGTGATTTTCAGTAGATGAAAAATAATGTTTGTCCGTTGGATGGCGAAGGTTTCAGTCTGCAAATCATTTCTGATCTGAACCATTTGGTGTTTTTCATTCTCATGTGACTTCATCAACAGAATTTCAAGAAAAGAGAGAAAGCTTATGAGTAAACAGCTTGTTTTGTTTCATACGTATCCATGGCAAAAATAATGTTCATTTTAAAGATCTTTTCACTCTGCTCATAACTGGAGAAATCCATTATTCTGGGTTCATCTTCAATAGCATGTATGATAGCTTACTACCAAAAATGCCAAAACCAACATAAAAGCGAACACAAAAAGTACTATTACAACACCATGACGCTTGCAATGTGGTGTTGAATATCTCTTTTACAGGTCCTGGTACATCAACAAAATAAAGATTTTTTTTTTTTTACTAGCTTCAATTATTTGAACAGATGATGTTGCATAAAAGAGGAATGACGAATATGAACATTCCAAAATTACTTATTCTTTTTCCTCAATTTCTGATTCTCTTAACTTTTCAGCTATAAAACACAAGCTAGGAATAGCAGGAAAATTTAAAAGGCAAACAAAAATGACCTATGCTCTCCAATACCAATACCTTTGGAGATGGACGATAGCTTGAGTCAGTTCCTCTGGCCAAAGACTCATCAAGAAGCGCTTTCAGCTTTTCAGCAGAGTCCTTACTCTTCGAATGCAAGAAGCCCAGGGCTTTCAAAAAAATGGGATCAAGTTCCAAGTTCACTGTAGCAGCCATAGTGGTGTCTTTGGAGGAAGAAGAAAGAAAAAAAAAAAAAGAAAAATGACACCTTTATTCATATGGAACATAACTCAAACAACATGTGGCTAACTATCTCAAAGAAGACTTTTTATTGTAAAATTAAATTATATTAAATACAGCAAGGATTATATATGAATTAATTATCCTCATTAGAAGATGACTGATTGTGAACTTCAGAGCTGCAGAACTTGAATTTGGCTTTACATCTGAAATTATGTCAAATTCATTCTTTGACACATCTGATGTTCAGAAACTAAATTAATCATTCTTACATACATGGAACAAATATTTCATATTCTTGATATTGCACATATACAGAATATTGAAAAACATTCAAAACAAGTGTAAATTTCAAGAAAAGCAATTGCTACCCTTCTCCTTAACATTATTTGCACATACAGTGCTTTCTTATTGATCACTTAAGAATAACCAAAAAATCTTACTTGTAGAAAAATTAACTTTTGAAACTTTGAAAAGAACAGCTCACTGTTAACATACAACATAAGAGCTATAAAACAGCTAGTATACAATTTGACATATATATTAAAAATCTGAAAAATATATTGTCCAATTTTATATTTATCTGAAACAGTGAGAAAATTTATAACTTGGATTGTGACTTATCCAGGTCCCCTTGTGACAGCCTAGGTTTTCATGTCAAGTAATGACTACCCAGAGCTCTAAGATGCCATAGTGCCAACACAAATGGAATAAAGTGAGGAAAAGGGTAGACCAAATTTTGAAAAAATATGTTCACTTCATAGCAATACATTCCTGCACTCTGTAGCCTTCTCTGTTAATTTCTTTAACAAAAGCTCTAAGGAATTTCATTTACATCAGAAATTGTGCCTACAAAGATAGATATCTCTCTAACTTAATCAGTAATTAACAATTTATGAAATAATACGGGAAAGGAAGTTTCCTGCTCTTTTCCAAAATGGATGAGAAGCGTTATTGTTAATAACCCCTTTGAATCTCATTTGAAACACATCAGGACATTTTATTTTTTTTTATACAGTTATCTAGAAGACGCTCTTGAAAAGGCTTTTACCAGTTCTGCTCAAAAGCACTGCCTGGACAGCTTTTTCAGCTGGAGCTTCCAAGGTTTTGTCTGATTAATTCCTTTTGATTTCCAGGCAGTGAACTTTTACCTCTCTGGCCAAAACACCAGCACTAGTGGCCTGCTCCCTCAACACTTGCCTAGAAGTCTCCAGGAACCTTTATCTCATGCTGAGCTTTCACGAGACACCAGAGAATCTCTCCGCTAAAATCATCAAGGAGTTCGACACACAGCAGACTTCATAGGGATTTTATCAATGGCCCCAGCAGAGTTAAGAACCCTCTTCAAGAGCCTCTTCTCTCTTCCTTAATCTTTGCTACATGTCAGATCATTTTCTGGTGGCCACAAGAGCTTTTGCTAGTAAGTACTACACACTAGTTACTCTCCTTTTTCACTGATCAAGCAGAGACTTCAGTGCAAGCCCCATCCAGCCAACTCAGTCTCTCTCTGATGTTTACTAAAAATGAATTGAATGTGTGTGGAAAGCACATACCCTCTTTTTTAATGCATCTACCTCTGACAATTTTTCAGGCTGTTCCCGAGTTCTGTGGGTAGGCTATCTCTTCCATTTCTTTGTTCTGTGAATATTCCTTCCAAATTTCAGTACCATATAAATTAGGACTCTGCTAAGCCCTCTGTTGAATATAAACAGTAAAATTAAACCACCAATTTCAAAAAATCCTCTATGTTCTTTTCTGAGGCTTCTTCTAGGAATATATACTTGTGTACATAAAGAACAGGTAGCTTAAACAATCATTTGCAGCCAATTCAGGATTCCTGTATTATTTACAGACCAAGCATAAACACACTAATTCTATTTTAATCTTCCTGAAGGTAACACTTCCCAGATTTATTTCTAGCTCTAGCTTTTCAAAGAAGTCTATTGTAAAGGAACTGTTAAAATCCAAATTTCAAAAGTGTTCTCTGTATTTATTTTTTTATTTGCATATGAAATTGCAGCAGTTCTTTCTCTGTTCTCAAGGGTAAATTACAATGGCATAGGCTACTGCAGTTATAACTAACGTATCACAAGAAATTTCTCACGAGAAGGGAGGGAACGGGGCTTATAAAACCATTGAAGTATGCTCAGTTTAGGCATACTTTGTCTTGAAAATTGCACCATCTGAAAAAAGTCAATGGATAAGCACACTCTCCTTACTGGACCACAATATCACAACTGTCAAGCAGGCTGATACCAATAACTGGCCTGGTCCAAAAGGCAAATTATTGCTTTCGGTAGTGGCCTATTCCACATGTTTACAGACCAGCACAGTGGTTTGATACTTATAAACCTAAGATCCAATTACATTAATTCATGTTTTCATTCATAAACTGCTTCTCTGGTGGTGAAGTCAGCACTTAGCATTTGATAGCCTTGGAGCAAGAACAGTACAGCATTTTAACGATGGTGCCGGGGGTTACTCTGCACAAGAACACTCCTTGACTTTCTTGTTGAAGTGGAATCTTTGTACAAAAAATAATTCAAATGTAGTTTAGGAAAAAGAAACAGGAAAAAAATTAGGATGACACTGTCTTTTATGTAGCAGTTCTTAACAGAGCTGTGAGATTAGAGGGCCTACATTATACACCTTGAACCCAGAACAGAAGTGGTTTTGCACAAAGCAGTAACTGAAAGGAACGCACAGACAACTCGTGAAGCAGGGACAGGAACTCAAGCCCAGCCTCTTGCAACTAAGCATTGACCCATTAGCCCAGCCCTGAAAGCACCCTTCTCAACTCAGGTCTCTTCTTGACACTTCTTCACTTTTGTATAAGAACCGCTTGATGATAGGCAGAGAAGACCAAATGTAAGGTAACAAAACTCTCTGCAGTAGGTGAGATAATATTAAAAACCCTACAATTGACAATCATGGAGTAACCTCCCAACACGGACTAAGTGCTTTAAATCCTTGTGGGGGAAAAAGTTAATTAGTGAGTCATTCTTAAAACATCCAAGAATTTTTTGAGTCTCTCATTTCTTGAGCATACTATTGTCTTCTGCCAAATACACACAAACTTAATTGAGCACTGTACAGAATATCTGGTCTTCCAATTTAATAGACTTATTAGATTTCCCGGGTGTAAGAGCCTCTTTCTTTTAATTTATTTTCCAGCTATTATTTTCAGGCATACACATGTATTATCTTATTCATCATCACTTTCAGTTAAATAGATCTACTTACATTACATTTTCAGATATAGTTATATTTTCACCTGTCTGTTTCTGAAATCCTATTTCTATTATTTTTCGAGACAGGTGTACAATTGAAGATAATTTTCCAAGAAAGTGCACACCTTCCATTGATATTGCAATGCTATTATCAAACCCATTCTTTATAAACTCAGCAATACTTTTTTAATATTTTTCATTGACACTGATGAGTAAAAGGACTTTCACTGGGATATTCTTTTCAGCTATCTTCAACATCTGTAGCTGTTAACTTAAAACCCAGTAACATGAAGCAGTAGCACAAAATTCCTTCCACTGCACTGTGTTAATTAACAATTAATCTCACTTACCACTATAGTATCAATTCACCACTTTTTTGCCTTTGTATTCTTCTGTTCCTCAAGATTTTGTCTCTTCCTGACTAATCTAATAATTTTGTCAGTGGTAGATTTTGCTTATTTATCAATAATACCTTTTCCAGATCACCTTCAGATTTAATGTAAGTCTTAAGAAAGTAGATTAAGGAAAATCTTAAAAGCAGGAAAAACTGAACTTCCATTTTCAGCTTTTGTTTTAGGATCTTAACCAGAACTTGATTCATGGCAACATAATTTCTCAGTTCTCTCCCATGAGGGACATTTCAAAACTCACACACTTTAGTAGTCTGGACAACTGTATTAATCACAACAACTGCATTAATTAGTTCTTATTTATTTGACATCTTCTCCAAAGAATTTTAGAAGACTGGAGTAAAATCTTCTGCTATGGAGTTACCAGCATTGGTATCCTTCAGTTTACATTCTACTCTACAGCACATTCTATACTGTACATTTAAATTAATATTTCAATCAGTATCACATTAATGTGTTTATTCACCACTTCTGAGATTACTCTACTGCCCTATATTTGCTGTTTTCTGCTCCTCACAAACAGTACGTTACTTAAGAATCACAGAATCATTCAGTTTGGAAGTGAGCCCAAGTGGTCACCCTGTGCAACCTCCTGCTCAAAGCAAAGTCAACACTGAATTCAGACCAGCTTGCCCAGGGCTTTGTCCAGTTGGAGCTGGAAAACCTCCAAAGACAGGAATGTGACAAATCTTCTGGGCAACCTCTTCCAATGCCTACCTGTCCTCTTTTCCTTACTTCAAACTGGAACCTCCCCTGTTCTAACTTGGGCTTTCTCTCATTCCTCTGCAGTGCACCTGAGTAGAAAGACTGGCTCCACCTTCCCAATAATCTCCTCTTAGGTATCTAAAAAGGCTTATTATATTAGGTCCTCCTAAGTCCACGGTAGATGACATCCAACACTCTTCATCTTCAGATCTAGGTATTTTGTCACAGAGGACAAACCAGTAGGTCAGGCATGATTCATCCTTGGTGGATCCCAAGCTGGCTATCCCCAGTTACACCCGCTCCTTCTTATCCCTAGAAATGGCTTTGTCTATGATCTTCCCACAGCTGGAAGGAATGAGGCTGACCAGCCTGTAGTTCCCTGGATTGTCTTTCTTGCCCTTTTTGAAGATGAATGCAAGATCTGCCTTTCTCCAGTCTTTAGGAATGACCCCCAATCTCATGGCCTTTCAAAGACAACAGAGAGTAGCTTTGTGAAGACACTGTCAGCTCTCAGCACCCTTGAATGCAGACCACCTGGGCCCATAGACTTGTCAGGCAAACAATCCCTGCTTCCATCCTCTTCCACAGCTTGTAGTTCCCTCTCTCCTTGAACCCCGCCTTGTGGCAAAAGGCCTGGGAGACCTTATTGGTGAAGTCTGAGGCAAGGACTACATTGACTATCTCACTCTTGTCTGTGTCTGCTGTCACTAAAGCACTCAGCTGACTCAGCAGAAGCAACGCATTTTTCCTTCTGAATCCTTTTCCTGATAAATGGCATCTTGTTACCATTCACATCTCTTGTTAGTTTCTAATCTAGCTTAGCTTTGGCTTTCCTAACACCATTTCCCATGCCTGGGCAATATTGCTACATTTCTCCTTTGTAGCCTGTGTCTGCGCTTCCACCTCCTGTATATTATGTCCCCTTTGCACTGGAGCTCTGTCATGAGCTCCCTGTTTAATCAAGCCCTTTTCCTGTTACATCTGTTACCTTTCTACTGAAAGTTTTACTTCTCAGCAATAGTTCTGTTGCCACAAAAATCAGTTTAATAAAAAACATTTAATAAAGTAAATGAGATAATCATACCTACGCAATTGAGATTTGCTAATCCCTGCTATCACCAAGCTTCAATATTCTGCAAAACTGGACCTGAAGATGCTGTTTAAACGTATGTCCCTGTTAATTGCTGTCAGTCACTGGTAAAGTGATTATATTATTGTTTTCACCTTTCCCTACTACTGAAATTTACCAGGTTTACAGATTCCCTCTGTATCATCCTCCTCCTGGTGATTTCTCAGTGGAAGAACCAAACTTCAGTTAAAACTGAATTTCTGTATTAGTCACACCAAAGCCACGACTCGATCCTTTGCAACACACTCGCTGCAAATTTCTCCCTGACGTTTCCTTCAAGAACGAAGAAGCAGCCTCCCACCTGAAAGCCACTCTTTAAAAATAAAATGCTCACGAAAACAAAATGCCACCATCTTTTAAACCAAAAATACCCAACACTATGGTCGAAACTTTTATGTCTTGCATGATGCCTACATCACCTCTATTTCCTCGGCCTGTTTCTTC